ACTTACTAAGCAGATACATAATCTTCGTACTGAAGGTGAGAAGTAATATTACTCTCACCTACCCGTCGAGCCTCGCCTCTGACCGGAAGAGCATCAAACTTCTATCCAGTCCATTTGATACCACCTCGCATATTCCCGATCCCTTCTTGTGCACTCAGTTGACTGCAGTTCAATTAGATATAAATGTTTTTGAAACAGGCATGCCTGAATAAATGTAGTTCTAACATGTTATATATTACAATGTGTAAATCTGTATGCTGTGGTTTGTGTTCAAAATTTCCGAAATTTCTGAAGAATGTTACATGAAGAGATGCTGTTGCTTAGTGTGTACACCGCATACAACCCTCTGCCAAAATATGATAAATTGCAAATGTATTTTATGTTAGACATAAAATCACTATGACCCACATTCCGTTATGGAAATTAAATATTACCACGCAAAAAAATTCATCATACATTGTCTCTCCAGAGTTCTTGTACCTTCAGGATCCTACATGTTGAACTATATAGTTGAGTTCCCAGCATGAACATCACAATCTCTGAAGGGACAGCCAGGTAGAAGGAAAAAAAACAGGATGTACATTCTCTCTCTCTCTCTCTCTCTCTCTCTCTCTCTCTCTCTCTCTCTGTATATATGTTTGTCAACATAGTAGCTTGACAATGATAAGTGTGTTAAAGAGTTTTTGGAATAGCTTATTGTTTCGTATTCTTTTTATTATTATTGCAGAACTCATGAGTAAACAAACGTTTACAAATCTGCTCAAAAGATAGAAAATGAGAGAAAAAATCAAGTTTGTTGGGGTTAATGGGGAACTTAAGGCCCCTTGAATAACCAGAGACACAGAAATATCACTTGTGCACTGTTGCAGCAGTTCAGGTATAGTAGTCAATCAATCAATCAATTATAAACACTCTTTATTCATACTGTCATGAATTCTTAGACGAGACGGGATTACGGAGCATTCCAGTGAATCGGGTATTGGTGATTTATTGGAGCTCATAATATTATATACAGGTGTTTTGTATATTGGAAGCTTAATGTGTTGTCTAATAGTAGACCCTGCTGCCATATGGCATCACGAAAATTGTGACCAAGTCTCAGGTTGCTGATCTGACTTTCTGCCTCATTTACACAATTGCAGAGTTTCAATTGTTTCTCTTACTTTGACAACACAACATACATATATTGTTTCTCACTATTTATTTTTTTTATTTCTTTATGGTTCTTCATTATTATTATTATTATTATTATTATTATTATTATTATTATTATTATTATTATTACAGTGTTGTTTTTGTTATTATTACCATTATTATTATATTATTTTATTTTAAATTTCTTTATATATATATATATATATTGTAAATTTTATTTACTGGTCCACAAAAAGGGTTACCACCCTATTTGGAACAAGCTGTGGAACGAGTGGAACAAGCTTAGCATCTTTGTAGTAAGTGTTGGAACGTTGGGAAGTTTTAAAAGGAGGCTATATAGATTCATGGATAATAAAGAGTGGTTGTAACTCTAGACAGGAGTTGCCATGCACAGGCCAACCGGCCTATTGCAGACTCCATATTTTCTTATGTTCTTATGTGGTTGGAGTAGCGTTTAACCGAATCCTGCGAGGAAACACGAGGCTACAAATATGTCTCATCAGTCCATTCCCAGCTTTGTTCATTCTTACGAGAGATAAGAAGCATTGTATTTACTTGGAAAATACCCCTTTATTATTACCTTGTAATTCAATTGTCATTATATAATCTAGTCTCACTAGACATATCGAATATGTATACATGAATTTGAGTAATGCCATGTACAAATTAGAAAATTTTGTGATTAACAAGAAGTGTAACCATTGTTACGCTGTCTTTTAATTTACTTTAATATCCAGGTTCTACGCGTAACCAAACAAAAAAAGTGAAGTAAATCAAAAAGGAATAAAAACAAATAAAGTAAACCTTTAAGAATTAAATTAAATTAAATACTAATACAATAAAGAGCCTCGTAGGCTGTCACAACAAATTGATTCACTATCGAAACTTTTAAGACACAAATGATACTAAAACATCGAAAAATCAAAAGAACTGCTTAAACATATAGAATAAAAATAAAACACTGGATTACGTTAACACTGCGTAAACATATAAAATAACTAACACTGCAATTAACTATCGTGAAACAACAATGAATTACTTAAATGTAACTAAGCAAGCACTGATGGACACATAAGAGACATGAATAGTTACTCACATAGATATACCACATTGGTGGCGACAGGAACAACACAGAAATAAAATATAGTATAAGTAACAGGTGACGGGTGTCATTCAAAAGAACGTGAACTGAATGACAAGAGGACTGGACTGAACTCCGTCTGCTGCCGTGATACTATATATAGGGTCGGCTCCCGCCACTGAGACACGCCTGTGAAACATGGGTCGTTTAACAATGCAGATGGTCGTTAGAGAAACAAAGAATGCTTGTTACAAAACTAAATGAAGAAATAAGATAGGCTTGAACAAATAATAACAGTTAAAACCTTAACAGCACAGGGTAAGGTGACTAGAATATATAATAGTAAATATAACACATCATTACAGGAATAATATGGAACAGCATGGAAGCATGTTATAAAAAATAATAGAAAAATATGACACGGTCATAACACTTCCACCCCATAAAATATAATTTTGGCTTGCACAGATTTTGATATGACATAAGAGTTCATTCTGTGGGTCTAGATAACAGATCAGCCAGCACATTGTCTGAACCCTTAACATGTGTAACATGTAAATTATAGTTCTGAAGGAACAAACTCCAGCGAATTAATCTCTGTTTTTTTAATTTGAATGTTTTGAAAAACTGCAATGGTTTGTGATCTGTATAAATTACAATAGGCCTACTTGGTAAGAAATAATAACTGAAATGTTGCAAAGCTAGGAAAATTTACAGCAATTCTTTTTCCAATGTTGCATAGTTGGTTTGAGCTGGATTGAATTTTTTGCTATAAAATGCCACTGGGTGGTCTACACTGTCATCATCCTCTTACAACAGGACAGAACCTGCAGCAAGATCACTAGCATTACAGGCTAGCTTGAAAGGCTTAGAAGAATTAGGGGCTCTCAAAATAGGATATGAGCATAATACATTTTTCAAGTATTGAAAAGAATCCTGACACCTTGAAGTCCAACAAAATATATTACCCTTCTTCAACAAATCAGTGAGGGGTAGTGCCAACTCGGAAAAATTACAAATATATCTCCAGTAATAATCCACACAACCCCAAAATCTGCAGACTTGTCGTTTATTACATGGAACAGGCATCTGAGAAATTGTCACACAAAAGTTGAGCACAAACAAATTCTGACTTAGCAAAGTTTATAACAAGTCCTACGTTTTCTAAGTCAGTGAAGAGAGCGTCTAGCTGACATAAATGGTCTGACCAAGTGTCAGAAAAAATTACATCATCTAAATATACTACACAACCAGCCAAATTGGCCGTGACTTGTGACATCAGCCTTTGAAAGGCTAATGTCACAAAACTGGAGATGTCTTTAGCACGACGAGCACTTGCCAAAACCCTCGAAGGCAATCAATCTTAGAGAGGAACTTGGCGTTCCCGATTGCTTCGATGCAGTCGTCGACTCTTGGTAGAGGGAAGCTGTCCTTGCTGGTGACGGCGTTGACCTTGCGGAAGTCGATGCAGTATCGAAGAGTGCCGTCCTTCTTTGGTACTAGAGTGACTGGTGAGCACCATTCGCTGGTAGGGAGCCTGCTTGAAAGGCTTAGCAGAACCAACATCAATATCATGCACCACGGCAATGGTACAGCCAGACCTGTCTTGGAAGACAAGAGGATGTTGTTGGATGGCTGCCAGTACGTCAGCTCTCTGGTGTCCCGGTAGATGCTGTAGCTTCTCCTGCAACTCCACGGAGTTGGACTGCCAAACCCTGACTGATGACAGGGCGAGTAGACTTGCCCCTTCTTCTTCCTCTTCTTTCTCACCGTCTACCAAGAAAGTGTCAACGGCACACACGGGAACTGGATCATCAGCAACAGATGGGGATGCTGGGCGTGTGTGGTACAGCCTGATGGTGTTGACGTGACATAAGCGCTGTAGTCGGCGCCTGTCAGGGGTAGAGATAATATAATTTGTGGGGCTTACCTTCTTCACCACTCTATATGGCCCACTGAACTTCGCATGGAGCGGCTGTCGATGTCTCGGCAAGAGAATGAGAACTTGATCTCCTATCTGGAACTCTCTGTGTCTGGCACGCTTGTTGTACCATGTCTTGGTCTTGGACTGCGACTGCTGTAAGTGGTCTGCGGCAAGGCTCCAACAATTTAGAAGTTTCTCTCTAACCTCTCCTACTAAACTTAATACACTAATGCTCTCTTCACTACTACCTAACAATCTATCTCTAATTATGTGCAGAGGACCTCTTCCTTGATGAGCGAAAACACGCTCGTAAGGGGTAAAAACTGTGGTTTCATTCGGGGCATCCCGAAGAACAAACAAAATATAAGGTAAATCTATATCCCAAGAAGACTCATACTGCAAAGCATACTTGCGCAAAATAGTTTTTAAGGTTTGGTGTGAACGTTCTACTGCACCCTGAGTCTGGGGGTGGTAAAGAGAAGAAACACAATGAACTATTCCCAACTCTGTTAGGGCTTCCTTGAAAACTTTTCCTACAAAATATGAAGCACCGTCCGTTTGAACACGGTACGGCAACCCAAAGTGGCTAAACAGGTCAAGCAAACATTTAACAAGGGCCTTAGCAGTAACTTTCCTAAGAGGTACAGCATGCAAGTACCTAGTGGAGGTATCAATGACTGTAAATAAATATTCAAACTCACTAGAAGTTTTAGGCAGAGGGCCTACAATGTCACACTGTACTGTTGTAAAGGGCTCAGGTACGTGAGGTACTCTTACAAGTGGAAAAGGTGGGATAGCCTGATTGGCTTTGCCTACCTTTTGACAAAACTGACAGTACTTACAATATTTAGTGACATCTCTCCTCATACCTGGCCAATAGAACTTTCTGGCCAGCCTGTTGAACGTTGTTCGGACACCTTGATGTCCAGAATAGTAATATAATAGCTATGTTTTTTCGCCAAGTTTAAACATCCAAAAAGGTTCTTTGTATATCCAGTATCATTAATAGTAACTGATCAATATTACATAATGTTATGTCGAGCAGTGGTAGCCAAATCTTGATCTTGTATATGATAATAGTGGAAGAAGATTTCAATAAGGAAGGTACCGAAGGCGAGGCAACATCCAAGTAGCGACAGGTAGAAGGCTCCCTGAAGGTGGTCCAACGTCAGCACCACTTGACCGCTCTCTTGCTGAAAGATGAGGCAAGTATAATGCGTCCCCTGTATTGAGATCTTTTATATCATGAACATCATGTCCCAGCAATAAGATGTGATGTATTGCTGCGACCATAATAGCCTGATGGATACCAAGGCGTTGTCATGATTTAGTATAGTCATACACCATGACACTGTTGGAAGAGTTGATCAGTTGTAATAATCAAGACATAGTTAACAGTAAACTTAACTATACCGAGCAATACAAGTTACTTATGGAGCTACGTTATAACATTCCTTACCTCAGTGTACAGTGGCTGCTCCTTCCCTTCTTCTTCTGTGTTGTTCTGTTTAAACTCATTCTTTAGGACATCATCCAACCATAGGCTCAGGAGTCCAGCCTCGATCAGTCGTTGTTTCATCTTGCTGATCTGCTTCATAAATGGTGCACCTTGTCTGTGTGGTGATATATATATATATATATATATATATATATATATATATATATATATATATATATATATATATATATATATATATATATATATATATATATATATATATCACATACGACTCGTAGTTAACCAGTTTAGTCACTCCATGACAAACCTATTTTAGTATTGTTAATATATTGAAATTCTCCTATGGATGACTTTCTCCCCTTCGTTTTATTATTATTATATCATGTTTGTACTATTTATGTTACATGTATATTATATTTCAATCAAGTAACCATTCACCAATTATGTAACCGTTAATTATTATAATTATTAGTAGTAGTAGTATTAGTAGTAGTAATATTATTATTATCATTATTATTATTATTGTTATTATTATTATTATTATTATTATTATTATTATTATTATTATTATTATTATTATTATTATTAATATTATTATTATTATTATTATTATTATTATTATTATTATATTTATTATTATTATATTTATTATTATTATTATTATTTAGCAGGTATACAGGGACATCTTTTCAAATAATAAAAGTTAATGATAGTATCTTTATACACTTTAGCTCTTCAAATAAAGAAATATTTATATGGAATAATACATACTTGAACTGTAATTTCATCATGAATTGCCTCAGAAAGTATTAATTGAAAAAGGGAAATTTTGTCACAATTTACTTGCCTGAAACCCCAGACGTTGCCTCCAAAAATGGGATATTCGGTGGTGCCATATTGGTAAGGTGTATTACCGTACTTGTCGGTGTAGTGCCTAGCCACAAAAATCTGGATCCACGTCTTGAGGTAAATGAAGGAGAACTCGCCAGCCAGTGTATGCTCCAGCCAATTTTCCGTCTCAAAAACCTGTTTGTGACCTCTTTAAATACTTTTATGAGTGTGTTCCAGATGCAGGTCCCTTACCGTAATAGTAACAGATACTGAGATATATATATATATATATATATATATATATATATATATATATATATATATATATATATATATATATATATATATATATATATATATACAGGTTGACAACAACACTTTATCCGAAATTCTGAAAACCGAAAGGCTCTGAAAACCGATTTTTTTTTGTGCAGCCAAACTTTTTTTTTTTTACAGGGATTAGCCCACTCAGGCATAGATCACTGACCCACATCGGGGACTGGGTGGCGAAAATGTAATAGTAATACTAATTATAATAATAATTATTCATAGTAAATACAAATTTTAATAAAAATACACCAAAATAAAAAAATAATGATAATAATAATAATAATAATAATAATAATAAAATATAATAATACCATTAATAATATTAATAATAACAATAGTACTGTATTAATAAAATAATAATAATAATCATAATATTAATAATAATAATAATAATAATAATAATAATAATAATAATAATAATAATAATAATGATAATAAAGAAATGCAAGAATGAAAAAAGATAAAAAGTGAGAAACACGACCTAGTAGGCAGCTATCAAACAGGGAGGTACTACCGCCTGGGAAGATATTGGAAGCATAATGTGCTGTCTGTGGTAGATCCTGCTGCCATTGGCATTACAAAAATTGTGACCAAGTCCCAGGTTGCTGATCTGACTTTCTGCCTCATTTACACACAATTGCAGGTTTCAATTTTTTTCTCTTACTATTGACAACACAACATACATATATCGTTTCTCACTTTTGATTATTTTCTTTTAATTTTTGTATTTCTTTATGGTTCTTTATTATTATTCTTTTTGTATCGCTATCATAATTTTTTTTTTAATTTTACTTATCTGAATTATTATTATTATTATTATTTTTATCATTATCATTATTATTATTATTATTATTATTATTATTATTATTATTATTATTATTATTATTATTATTATTACATTTTCGGCCCCCAGGCCCCGATGTGGGTCAGTGACCTGTGCCCGGGTGGGCTAATCCCCGTAAACAAAAAAAAAGACCTATGAATTATTATTTTATTATTATAATTATTATTATTATTATTATTATTATTATTATTATTATTATTATTATTATTATTATTATTATTATTATTATTATATTTTCGCCCCCCCCCCCAGGCCCCAAAGTAGGTCAGTGACTTATGCCCGGGTGGGCTAATACACGTGAAAGAAAAAACTAACCATTCTGAAAAACGAAAAATTCCGAAATCTGAAATGCCTCTGGTGGGGTGAGGTTGTTGATTATATGTAGAAGTCCGCGAGCTTTATGGGCTAATGAAATGTATATGGAACCTCGTGTTTCGAAGCCGGATTTGGTAAAATGTTACTCTGATCACCTAAGGGGCACGAGTAATTCCCAATTGGAGGTTCACGGCGCCATCAGCTCGATGAACAGGCTTTGTGTGAAATATAACAGAGTCTAGAACTGCTTTTAGTGTCCTAGTGGTCTAGAGGTATCGTTCCCCTGTCACACCCATAAGATCGTGGGTTCGAGTCCTGGCAGGGTGAGGTTATATATATATATATATATATATTTATATATATATAAATATATATATATATATATATATATATATATATATATATATATATATATATATATATATATATATATAACAATTTGCGGGGATGAGTACAGTCTGTACTCATCCCTGAAAGAATTACATGCAAGCACTTGGGAGCTTCGTGTTTTCTTTTTCCTATATTACTTAATAATAAGACGTATGAGCAGGCTTTGTGTGAAATATAACAACCCCTAGTATGGGTTTTCTTAGATTAGTTTCGCCGTCGTATCGATCCCTTGTTCACAGACAGAGGTTCGGGGTTCGATTCTCGAATAGTAAGGTATTTTTAGATGAAAGTCTGCATGTATATGGATTGCTGATAAGAATATTGTGTGTGTGTGTTTTTTTACGCTGAACAAGAATAATCCCAGATCAAATTTACAAAGCAACTGACGTTTTTACCCAAAGGTGATAAAATTTTGTATTGCTACGACCCTTCTTTCACCGCTTACCCAGCTTCCACCACCAACGGCGAAGATCGTGTGTACAGAAGCAGTAAATAACACAAGTACAGCTCACATATCTGGGGTGGTTCTTCTTCTGTTCAATGTTAGATAGGATGGAATCAAAGGCATTTCGTCTTATTAACTCTCCTCCTTTAGTTGATAATCTCTCTTCGCCGCAATGATATTTCACTCTCTCTTTTTACAAGTACTTTAGCGGGCAATGTTCGGTGCATTTGGCATCCTGTGTACCGCTGGCAAGGCCGTGGGCTCATAACACTCGTCTGTATGGGTTTAGGTCACACTAGAATAACCAGTTATAGTATTTTTATTTTTTATTTATTTGCTCTTATTGGCGCCTTTGACGGCAGCGGTAATAGTGAGGAGAGTTCGGTAAGCAGCCGCCCTTGGAAAGAACGACCCGCTCTCATCCCCTACTGCTGCTGTGTTGATGATGCTGTTGCTCTCGACCCCGGTGGCGTCTATCCGTCTCCTCCCCTTCCTCTCTGTCTTTCGTTCTTCTCCTCTCGTTTGTGGGGACGTGGGCTGCTAGTGCCAGCGTGGCCAGTACATCCTTCTTTCCTCACACAGCCAAACTGTGGAACGCCTTATTCTGTGTTTCCATACTATTACAATCTGAACTTATTTCAAAAGCTGGTTTTCCGGCATCTTCGTGGTGTAGATTAATATACAGTAGACCTTTTCTCTTCTATTTTTCCTTATACCCCCCACCCGCAGGCCCCGTTGTGAGTCGATGACGTGTGCCGGGTAAGAGTATATACAGACAAACAACAGGCAGGTAGATTTCCACCAGGTCACAGAAACACACTTGTGAACTATAATCTGCTTTAATAATCACTAATTCTTCACAACGCTGTTCACAGGGTAAAGTCTACACAACTGGACTTCTCACTTCGATTATACAGTATAGTCAGCATACTACCAGTGTACAGTCTGTAGTCTTTTCACTTTTGTATTCCGCCACAACAATTCCACAGTACTCACACAACAATTATCTTCAGTTGTTCTACTAGGCTGGTACTTTACACTCTGAGCAGAAACGGTCGACTCTCTGACCAGATGATGATGATGATGATAATGAAGTAGAGTGACAAATGACTTTGCCATGGGAGGAGAGGAGAGGAAACAAAACAGGAAGTAAAGTGTTAGGAGTGATAGGAGCCTAGCTGAGTCAAGGTGATTGGTTGGGGGTGGGGGCCATATGAGCGCCCACCCGACCAAGGGAGGCCGGGAGGGGGAGGGTGAAGCTAAGCTAGCTAGACAGTCATTAGTATAATGTGTGATAATTTATGTTCGTTATAGTGGGGCAGCTAAATGCAATTTTTCAAGAGAATCATGCAACTGGTGATACAAGCACAAAATTTGGAATGGTAATTCTCTTATGGTTACTAGTCAAGTCTGCCTGATTGTCCATTTAAAAATCAAGATGGCCTCCCTATTGACCTTCAAAAGTTGATTTTCTTATAGAAATTGATGTAGTTGGTCAATCTGAGTGATCTTGGTGTCGATATGAATGTTTTCAAGCATGCTCAAATGATTCTTTTATAGTTTTAAATCCATTGTAACATTTTTTTATACAAAAATAACACTTAGTAAAAAATCTAATAAAAGAACTTACTAAAAAAGTACTCACTATTAGCACTAGGTCCTGTGACTTCTCCTGACAGTACATCTTTGTGCATTTACTGCTGCTCACAATGCAGCTGCAAAGTGCTGTGCAGGAAAGTCCAGACAGCACAGTACACAGTACACAGACAGAAAAGACTCTGCTGTACCACATGAAGCCACTCCTGCTTCAACAAGGGAACCGGTCCAACCACTGTCCTGTAGTAGCGTTCCTAGTGATCTCAGTGCAGCCATCTCTGTAGATCCCCGAACATAATAACATAACTGTCTTCTCCATACTCAGGCCAATGCCGTTTGATTTGTTTTGCCAGGACATACAGTGGCTGGTCAGCAGCTATGACTGGGATCTGACCTGGGTTCAGAAAAGCCACTGTATCACGAACGTTTTCCATGACATGCTTGATGGTTTGCCAAAGTAAGAATGATCTCGAAGCAGGGGAAGCAGAGACGTAATTCTCACTTCAAATGGCTAACTCCTTCTGTGCTGCATGGTGAGCTGCCCGTGATGCCAGAATTCATCAGCCACATCCTCAGTGAGCAAGACCTCTTCCTGCAGGTGTGACTGGATTGACTCAGGTGCTGGCAATGACTGAGGTGCTACCAAGGAGATGGGATTCTTCATAATATAAGCTGGTCGGACATTGGTGAATGCCTCTGGAAGCTCAAGAACTTTCTTGACCATCGTATCTGCATTCCGTCTGGTGGCTCACGCTCCTCACCAGCCTGCTCAGGGCTTGGATGTTGGAAGATGGACACACTGGTCCCATGGAAGGACGTTTTGGCCGTAGTCGCAGTGGGGTTGTGGTCAATGTTGTCCACTGCTGAAGTCGTGAACAACTGCTTCCTCAAGATTGGTGGACACACCACTCCATCTTCCACGTACTGGCATACAACTGCTTCTCTAGCTGGGCTGATAATTGTAGAACCATCAAACTTCTTCCTCACATAGAAAGCATTCTGTTGCTTTGGGGTTTCTGAACATTCGTGGTATCTTGCTACTGCCGCTCTCCTCTGTAGCAACTGCAGAGGTTTGCCTTTTCTGAGCTCTATTTAACTTTGTGTTGTTGAACAGAAGTCTGCAACTCTCATGATACTGTGCCTTGTTTCTCCTCAAGGTCTCCTCTATCCCATCATCTTCAACAAGTCTTGCAGGGTCAAGCTTGATTGGCAGTGCAGTGATTGAATGAAATAGAGGAATATTCCTTGCCAAGCTCTTGTAACCGTCATCTCCTT